CTCTCTGGGTGATCTGTTCAGTGCTGGGTCACTGCACAGCCAAGAAGTTCTTCCTCCTGTGCAGGTGGAACTTGCTGGGCATCAGTTCCTGCCCGTTCCTCTTGTGCCATTGCTGGGCCCCCCCGAGCAGAGCCTGGTCCATCCTCTGCCCCCTCCCTGCAGACCCCACAGACCTGGGGGAGGTCCCCTCTCAGTGTGTGCTCTGGGGGCTGAACAGCCCCAGCTCCCTCAGCCTTTGCTGCTCCCAGAGATGCTCCATCCCTTTGGAATCTCCGCAGGAGAATCATCTTCCAGCAGCTCCCTGTTCCTGCTGTGCTGAGGGGCCAGAGCTGAGCCCAGCCCTGCAGATGTGGCTCCCAGGGCTGGGCAGAGGGGCAGGATCCCCTCCCTGCCCTGCTGGCAAAGCTCTTCCCGACGCCCCGCGGGGCACCGCTGTCGCGACACACTCACTCCCGCCGGTCGGTGAGGCCCTCTGACCCCGCGACACGCCCGCGATAAGCCCGCGATAAGCCCGCGACAGACGCACCCCATCGCGATAGACCTTCCCGGCCCGCTTCACCCTCACGTCCAGCGCCGTGCCCATCGCCCGATCACGTGACCGCGCCTGAGGGGGGGTTCCCCCCTTCCTCCCCCTCCCCCCCCCAACATCCGGGTCCCCGACCCGTCACTTCCCAGCCGCCCACGCCGCTTCCCGCCCGGCCCCGCCCCCCGCGCGGTTGCCATGGCAGCGAGTGGGAGGAGCGCGGGTGACGCGTGGGGTTGGTCTCCCTATAGAACTACAGCTCCCGGCGTGCTTTGCGCTCATGTGACGGCCGCGCTGCGTGCTGCGCGCGCCGCGGGGGCTGACGGGAGTTGTAGTCCAGGCTGTGGCGGCGCCTGAAGCCCCACGGACGGACAATGGAATTCCAGGGAAAGGCTTCGATGCGCTTAAATTTATCCCCCTGACTACGCTATGCTGTCTCAAAACCCATATATGCCAGCGGCGAATTTATCCCTGCCCTGATTACACGCGTGATTCATCACATTGAATTTCCAGGCACGCCCCCGCGTCCTCTGCCCTCAAAGTACCCTGGAACTTATCCCGGTAAATTTAGGAAGGCAGCGGAATGCCTTGCGAAATGCGCAGGGAGGGAGGGAGGGAGGGAGTTCGCATTAAAAACCCGAAGCACAGAAAGGCCCGGCGTGGAAATGCCTTCCATCCCTCCCAGGTGTGGCCGCGGACGGAATTCCCGGGATTCCAGCGGGAACAGCAGTTGTCCATCGGCGGAATCCCAAATCCCGAAGTAAACCTCTAAAGCAGGAGCCTGGCTGTGAATTTTAACGCTTTCCCAAATAATTGTTATCACATAATTCTCCACACATGACGCTCTAAACAGCCGGGGCAGCCCCCACTGGGGTGTTACAGCACAAGCTCCAGTGTCCAGAGTAATTTTAAAGTGGGAATTCTTCAATTCACTCTTAATCCGTGGCTTGGTGAGGGAGCAGGGATGGTGACAGATTCCTGCTCTTTTTTTGACTTTCCCCCCCCTTTTTCTCTCTCTCTCTTTTTTTTTCTTTTCATTAGCAATGCAAGTAACTGAAATCCTGAACAAACAAGAGCCTGTGCAGCTCAGGGAAAGCTGATTCTGCTGCAAGGAATGTGCCCAAAGGCCACAGCTGAAGGGGCATGGCAAGTTCGGGTTGCCCAAAAAAAGTTGTGGATGCCCCTGGAAGTGTCCAAGGCCAGGTTGGACGGGGCTTGGAGCAACCTGGGCTGGTGGAAGGTGTCCCTGCCCACGGCAGGGGGTGGCACTGGAGGAGCTTTAATGTCCTTTCCATCCCAAACCATGCTGGGATTGTCTGTGGAATTTTATTTTCCAAGAAGACAGTAGATGGTTCAAGTAGACACCCAGGGAACTGTCCACATCAGAGATTTCTTAATCTGATTGCCAGAGCTGCTTGTCTTGACCAGAGATTTGGAGATTTGTCTCCTGGCGTTTTTATTCCTGTTCTCCATGAATACAAGGAATCAAACCCATTTAGAAATTAGGGAATAAATAAACCTTTCACAGACTCCAAAGTTCTCTGTATTTAGTTTTATTATCTAGGATAAATCACTGCAGTTTTTTAAGCTTGGTGTTTAGAGGTAGCAAACTAAATATATGTTTTTTTCAGCTTCACAAATTTAAAATAAATAAAGCAGATAAAATAAATAAAAACAGAGTTTCTGCCAGTGGTGGGAGTACCTGGAAGAAGGTTCTGTCCTATTCCTCCTCATCCCCTCAGTACTAAAACCCATCTGTGCTCCCTTCCTCCTGGAGTGCTTAAGGAAAACTCGGCAAAAGCCAGTGCCCATTCCTGTAATTAGGAACATCTTTTGTTCTGGGAAAAGAAGCGAAATATCAAAGTCATCCCACAATTCAGAGAAAAGAGGGGAAAGTGGTCAGTGTGCAGAGAAAGGAGCACATAACTTTGATTACTTCTATTAGCCACTTACCTCATGGAGCTGATTGCTGTTCTGAGTTACTGTGGGGCGGGCAAAGAGGGATTTTGATGTTTTATTTTTCACCCCAACCAAGCAGAGCTCCAGAAAAGAAAAGAAAAACACAAGCCTGGACAGTACAGCTGCTTCTGAGCATGTTGTTGATATTTTTTTTTTTCTTTGCCATCACTTTCACAATGCACTGTTTTTCTTGGAAAACTTTTTCCAAGGTACTGCAGTTACTCGTTTCTAGGAATTGGAGCCTGGTGTCCAGAAAAAGCTGCTGTTGGAACAGGCTGGAGCTGCCCCTGTGCTTAGCAACAGCCATCCCACAAACAAACCTTCAGGAGCTCCCAGATCCCAACCAATCCGTGTCCAAATTCAGGCTCTGCACGGATGGTTCAGCACCCTCAGGGTGGTTGGTTTTGAAGGAACAATCCCAGCATGGGTTGGGTTGAAAGGGACCTTGAGGATCACCCAGTGCCACCCCCTGCCACGGGCAGGGACACCTTCCACCAGCACAGGGTGCTCCAAGCCCCGTCCAGCCTGGCCTGGGACACTTCCAGGGATCCAGGGGCAGCCACAGCTTCTCTGGGAATTCTATCCCAGCCCCTCCTCACCCTCATAGGGAACAATTTCTTCCCAATATCTAATCTAAATCTCCACTCTTTCCACTCAGAACCATTCTCTCTTGTCCTGTCACTCCGGGCCCTTATGAAAATTCCCTTTCCAGTAACAGGATTTTCTTTTGGTTGATCCAAGTCACAGATTTCCTTTACAGAGGATCCACCTCACACTGAATTATTTGGGAAGACTTCATCAAAATGAAACAGTTCAAGCCTCAGAGCAAAGGCTGGAATTTTTGGCACCGAGCCCTGTCATTGTCAGGGGCCTGCTGTGTCCATCCACTTGAAAAATCCACCCCAAATTTGGACAAATGGTGAGACTGACAATTTTAGGCTTGGTTTGGGAAAGGGAATTCCTTCAGGAAATCACAACTAAAGGGGAAATGGGCTTCTCAGTGGAATATTGGTGCCCACAGCCTGGGGTTTCTTTAACACAGTTTTATTTACTCCACCTGCAGAGCTGGGAAGCCGAAACAGGCTTTTTGTTCTGATTTTTTTAAAGGTTTTTTAAAGGTTCTGATTTTTTTCCACCCCAGAATCACGGAATGGTTTCAGTTGGAAGGGACCTGACTCAAGGAATTCAACAGGAGAAAGTTTTACAAGTGATGGAAAGGGATGACAAAAAAAGGCACCTGTGATTTCACCGCTTGCCATCAGCAGGATGTGGAGCCCACAGGGCTGGAGGAGTTTAGAGGTGATTAAGTCTAATCAGACAGTCATTTCAAATATTATTTCAATGTTGGACAATTTTTAGATCACTTCATGGTTTATGTAAGCACATTTGACTAAACTGAACATTGTTTTTCAGAGCATCTGAGTCAAAAGGCCTAAGTTACACCGAGGAGTTAATAGAAGAAATAACTGATGCACTGAACTACAGGAAGTAAATTAAAATTCATTATCTCTGGTGGAGAAATCCCACCAAATCCCAGCACTGGCACACGTAAATAGTGGTGCTTCTGAATGCCTCAGAAAGGAGGGAGATAATCATAAAGAAATTAAAATATCTGCACCACATGGAGGGACCGCACAGACATTAAATCTTAGCAAGGTTCTCTAAAAGAACTAATGAGAAAAGGCAACAAAATCAACTGATTTGTTCCCATATCGAGGTGAAAAAAGCTAATTGAGGTGAAACTAAGCTGAGGGAAAGTCCAGACAGAAGGTCTAAAAAGCTGGATTTTGTGTCATGTTAAAATTGAGAGAGGCACAATAAAATATATAAAATTAAATAACACCATAAGGCATCATGTTGGTCAAGGAATTTCAAAGGTCATTAAGAATGGACTCATTTTCCAGCAAAGTTGCACCATTTTTAAGGGAATTCCCTCATAGTTTAAAAGGGCTTGAACTGATTGAAAATTGCACTGAGCTTTTCTTGCCTCTCAAAGGAATTAGCAAATAAGGAAAATAGTCCTATGAAACATGTAGGGGGGTGGAAAAAAAAAAAAACTGGATAAAACAAAACAAGTGATTTAGACATTTATGGTAGGATCCAGGTATGGAGAATAAAAGCAGTTCAAAGCAGCTCCATATTCCTGCTGGAATGTGTGCATCCTACCAGCAGCAATAATTTGTAGTGGGCTGTGTTAAAAAAGCTGGGGTTTTTAAAGAATGTTAAATTAAAATAATGATATTAAAGTGATATAAAAGCATAATAAAGTTATATTAAAGTAATATTGTAAAATATTTTAATAAATAATATCAAAATAATAATGAAATATTAATTTGTAAAATCGACTCTTTGAGTGCTGATAGGCCTTGAAAAAGAATTTGGTGTTTATATACTGAAACAATAAAATAATATAAATTTGGTGGTTACATTGAAAACACTGACACTCATATTGAACAAAAAAAAGGTGGTGCCCAAAATTTATCTGGGGGACAAATAATCCCTAATATTTGTTGTGCCAAAAGCTTGAGTTATCAACTCACCAGTTTGGTCTCACTTGGTACTTTATTCCCTTGGTCACTAAAGTTTTGTAGCGACCCCAAATGAGACCGAAACAGAACATTTTTAAATTTAATTTTTTAAAATACTGCCTTGAGACCAGGGGGAATAACTTGTAAGTGATACCCACACCCTCAGCTGTTTACATTTTGCTGCGATATAAATAACTTTTCGAACCCCACGTCTAAAATTACAGTTTATGGGTCAGCTTTTGTCCACTGATGTTCCTTCCTCCTCGTTGTAAGGAGTGTGTACCTGGGTGTGCAGGTTGCTAATTAATTAATAGTAATTAATATCCACATCCTGGCTGTTCTGATGGTTGGAGCCACCTGAGACAGACACACTTTTTTTTTTTTTTTTTTTTTTTTTTTTTTTTTTTTTTTTTTTTTTTTTTTTTTTTTTTTTTTTTTTTTTTTTTTTTTTTTTTTTTTTTTTTTTTTTTTTTTTTTTTTTAGTTTCCTTCTTGTCACATAGAAGTAAAACTATGGAACTGAATCCCTAAAATATATTTTTCCATTGGCACGTTATAGATACATCCCAGAAATGTTGAGGGATGTGGGTTTTGATGCCACACTTTAAACTGGAG